TATATACCACAACTTCTTTATCTGGTCATCTGTCAATAGACATTTAGGTTGCTTCCTTGTCTTGGCTGTTGTCAGTAGTGCTGCTGTGGAATACAATCTAGATTTTCCAGTCAAGATGGCAGAGTAGTAGGACCACAAGCTTGCCTCTCATGACTACAACAAAACTATAACTGACTGCTAAACAACCACCAAAAAAAAAAAAAGAAGCAGGACCTAGCAAAAAAGTCTTCAACTGGAAGCATAGAGAGGGACCCACAGCAGGATGGTAGGAGGCATGTGCTTATGATATAATTAGGCCCTGGGGGTAGGCCACCCACAAGTCACAGAGGCCCTCCCACAGGAGTGAGAGTTCTAAGCCCCACAACAGGCTCCCCAGCCTGGGGTTCCAGCATTGGGAGGAGGAAGAGATCCCAAGACATCTGGTTTTGAAGGCCAGTGGGGCTTAATTCCAGAAGCCCCACGGGACTGGGGAAAACAGACTTCACTGTCTTGGGAAGGGTACACAGAATCTTGTGTATGCCAGGTCCAAAGGTAGAGGCAGTGATTTCATAGGAACCTGGGCCAGAACCTGTCTGCTGGTTTTGGAGGATCTCCTGGGGAGTTAGGGGACAGCTGTGGCTCACTCAGGGGACATAAAAGCTGGTGGCAGACACTCCGAGAGTGTTTTTCTACATGAGCTTTCCTGGAGTCTGACATCTTGCTTGGGTCATTAGCACCAAGACCTAGCCCCACTTAACAGCCTGTAAGCTTAAGGGCTGGGACACCTCAGGCCAAAAAACATACTGGGTGGGAATTCAGCCCCACCCATCAGCAGACTCCTTCCTGAACCCAAAGGCCTCTAGACAGGGCCCTACCCACCAGAGGTCCAGGACCAAGCTTCACCCAGCAGTGAGCAGGCACCAACTCCTCCTGCCAGGAAACCCGCATAAGCCTCTAGTCCAGCCTCAACCACCAGGGGGCAGATACCAGAAATAAGAAAACAACAATCCCAAAGCCTGTGGACCAGCTGGACTCTGGCTCTTGGGTGATAAGAGAGGAGTGCACTGCTGGAATGATGCATAGGACGTCTCCCACAGACATCTACTTCTCCAAGGTCAAGAAATGTAACTAAGCTACCTAAAAATACAAACAGAAAGATAGACAATATGATGTGACATAGGAATATCTTCCAGGCCATGGCAGAAGACAGAATCCCAGAAGAAGAAATAAGTGATGAGGAGATAGGCAATCTATCTGAGAAAGAGTTTAGAGTAATGATGGCAAAGATTGTCAGAGAACTCAAGAGGAGTATAAATGCACAGAGTGAAGTTTTTAGCAAAGAGTTGGAAAATATAAAGAATACCCAAACAGAGTTGAAGAATACAATTACTGAAATGAATAATATGCTAGAAGGAAGCAAGAATAGACCAAATGAGGCAGAAGAATGGATCAGTAGCTAGAAGACAGATTAGTGAAAATCACTACTGCAGAACAGAATAAAGAATGAAAAGAGATCAGGATAGTTTATGAGAACTCTGGGACAATGTGAAGCACATTAATATTCACATTAGGGGTACCAGAAAGAGAAGGGAGAAAGGACCTGAGAAATTATTTGAAGAGATAATAACTGAAAACT